CACACCGACAGTGGAGCGTAACCTCTCTACACCCTTGTTCTCCTTGATGCGCCGCAACACGGCAGCGAGGGTGGCGGCGCACAGGTCCGCCGAGCGGGTGGAGACAATTTGGCAGATGCGGTGGGTGGCAATGCAGTCCTCATGAGATGGCTCCAGCCCCAGCTTTGTCAGGATCTCATGGGCTTTTTGCAGTCCTTCTTTCTCCCTGTAGTCCCAGGAACAAGGAAAAAAAAAGAGGAGTTCATTGGCATACCTTAAGCTACTGCTGAACTAATACGAAGTGCTGTGCTGTCACCCAAAGCCTTTCCATTAACTTATTTACGCAGTAGGTCAGGCCATGGGTCTTCTACAAAAACTAGCTTAAAAAAACACACTTGTCTTTAACATCTAATGGACAAAAGAGACCGTTGGTTTCCTGAGTAGCTGTACACCAGCATCATTCCCTCCACAAACTGGACTACACCAATTTACACCCACAAATGTTTTGCCTCCATACCTCTAAAATCCTACAACAAGCCCCTACCCCAGAAAGATTTCAGTCCATTTCCATTGACTTATCCAGGAACTGGCCAAAGAATTTAATTCCCAATTGCTGCTGCTTCTTTTCCTCCTCTTCCTCCTTAATTTCATCCTGAAAAAAATCCTTTACCACATACCAAAGCACTTTGCAGAGCAGTATTCACAAGGCCCACAGCTAACCCCACCCCTGCACTCTCCCCCTCCCAACATATTGCAAGAAATGGGACAGAAGGAGCACTTCTATTGCACAGATTGATGTTCATGCTGCAGCTTCCTTGCAGAAAGAGTGAGAAGATATCTCAAAGAGAGGCCATCTCGCCCAACCTCCCCCAAAAGCAGCAACTGAGGAATACCTCATTTTCTTGGGCCAACTGGCAGGTTTTCCAGCTAGTCCCACTTCTTAGCCCTTTAACCACCAGTTCTAAGTGAGGCCAACCCACAATCCTATCACATGGGGTCCCAAAAATGTCCCTCTCATCAATGACTCTCCAGTCCTTTCCCCTCCCCCACCAGCTTTGGAACAGCAGAGTGTGCTCCCTCCTCCACGTTTGCGGCTGGGGAACGAGGGAATCCTTCAACCCACTGGCCCTTGAGTTTAGACCCAGATATCAGGCTCTCCCCCACTTACTTTTCGATTGCAGACACGTATCTGGTTTCGAAGTGTCCCGTCGTGAGCAAGTCAGGGGTGAGGCGCCCGCCGAACAGCAGCTCTTCCTTGGCCATTTTCACCAGAATGAGCCTGACCAGCTCCCCCATGTACATGCCACTGATCATCTTTTCAAACCTGCAGAGAGGTCAAGTGAAAGGTTTGTTCTGCTGTGGTGGCTGCATCTAGGCTGCACCACTATGAGGACAAAGTCTGTGCCTCAGCCTGTGAGCAAGGGCAGCCTATCACATGCAGGTGGCACTGAAGCCCACTGAAGATTAGTGTGCCAGCAAAAGAGGGCAGAAAAGTTTGCCCCCGGGCATGCAGATGCCCATGTCAGCATCTGAGTTAGTGTCCAATAAAAATAAAAGACTCTCTGGAGCCATGTAGCACAATTTGCTCATTTCAGGAATCAAATTATTGCAAAGCACCTGGGGTTTCCCACACAGGTGAACCTAGTTATTGTTTAAAAGCATGGAGGACAGTTTAAACCTTTGCTGAAAAGACTGTGGGGGCAAGGGGCATAAGGGAGATCCAGATTTTAGAAAGGCAACAAGACTTTGAGGTCTGCAGCAGCTTTGCAACAGCCTCATGATTGCTTACGAGCTCTGCAAGAGTAGAGCGTCAGCCATCAAGGCCAAGTTCACAGCTATCACAGCAGTATCAGCCTACTCAGGGGTGAGGGGCACGCAATCTCACAAAAATCACTGGGTTTGGTTGCAGCGATGATAGGAACGCTAGATGGCACCATTTGCCTTTATTTGATGATTACTTCCTTAGCTGGGAGAAACCGGCAATAAGCAAGTCATTTCATTCATTAGAAACCAAATGACTCAAAATTAGTTCTTGGACCTTGACTCAGAAATACCTTCCAAAATGTGTCACACAATCCTAGCTTGCCTTGGTTTAACCCAGTGTTTCTTAAAACAGAAGTACATGCACACCTGGGAGAGGTGGTGGACTTCTAGAGCAGTGGTTTTCAACCTGTGGTCTGCAGACCCCTGGGCATCTGCAGACTAAGAGGTCTGTGAAAGATGACTATGATCAATCAGAAGTATGTGAATACCCACATTTACAACGGTCTGCATCTCCATCCAAAAATTTTGAGAGATCCGCAAATGAAAGGTCAAAAAAAACATTGTTTTAGAGGGAACATGAGAGGAAGGAATGGCCCAGCAGAAACAGGGAAAGGGAAAAGAGACATGGAGGAAAAGGAAGAAGAAACAATTCTACAGTACAATTCTACAGTATCAGCCCAGAACAATTATACAGTACCTCCAACATCTTGGAGAGGCTATAGCACAGCTGTAGTGATGTAGACATGACTTTTTCATTCCCTATACCTTGGAGTCAGAGGAGTATGCAGCCATGGAAACTGAAAAAGGGGGACATGACCCCAAAAAGTTTGAGGGCCACTGGTCTAGCCTACATCCTGCAGGATGCACTAACCTAGTTAACTGGCCTGACCTCTTCCTCTCCCTAACACCCTCACAATGGGAGAACAGACAATGCAGAATAAAACCTACAACTGAGCCAAAGCCAGGAATCTGCTTACAACTGTTTGCCTGGGTTGAGCGAGCCCATGTCGATTTCACGGTCAAATTCTGTCCTGATGTCATTCAGCGCCCCGTCATCACCGAAGGCACCCCACTCCATGTTGATGCACATCCGCCCCTCATCCCCTTCCACCAAATCGATGTGCCTCATTTCCTCCATGTAACACGCATTGGTACCAGTGCCTGCACAAAACAAGACAAGAGATCATCATCTGGGAGGATGAGCAGGGGCATCACAGCCAGCCACCTCCTTCACACTACAGGATCCTCCATATCTATATACCTTTTATGGTTTTTTGTATCTCAGCTGAAAGCTTTTCAAATTGCACATATGTGTAGAGAGTCCCCGGCACATTTCTGGAACCTACCATCCTATTACAAATAAGTCATTTCTTGGCGATTACAGATCTACCACTTCAGTGAACTCAGAAAAGGGACTCACAAACTGTATTATGAAGACATCTATTTTCTAAATTGAGCTAGAAGGTGTTTCTGGCCTTTTAAAATGTTGGACACTTATGCAGATCATTTTTCTTAAATCAGAGTGCATGAGATTTGGGGCCTAAATTTCACTTGAATTGTATTTCTCTGCCCTGTCTCACACTGAAATTAATTCTGGGATCCAAATTTCTCCCAGTTCAGGTAAATGAAGTGCTAAGGGAATGCCCTTTTTCTGATGAAGTCGATGATAGTGTCACCACTGGATGCAATGTTCCCAGTGCTATTCTGTTAACATGGTCTGGCAGCAGTGTTTAAAGGATAATTAAATTTCCTAGCCACTTACACACATGGAATGGATAATTGGCTATAAGCATGTCTTCCCCAGTTACGCATTTACTGTTACATTCCAAATCCACCAACTCAAGCTCAGTATGTTGACACTGATATTGCAAAAAGCTGCAGCATGTGTGTGTTGTCACAGCATCTTGCTTCATCCAAGAGGCCACGCTCCTGCAAACTTGTGCCACATGGCAGGAAGTCATCCTAGTCTATGTCCGCGCTGGAACTACTGTTCTCTCTGTCCTGAGGATTAACATGGCTACTTCAACAGCTGAACACTTTCTAGTGTTAAACCGTATAAAACATTTCAGTAGAGTGTGAAGGAGGGACTGACATATTTTGTTCATTTGCTGTGCCAAAAGTTTGCCTCTTTCTGCTGTTGTCAGTAGAAAAAAAACAAGTGAATGCAGAGTCTAACTCTTACGGTAGAAAGATCAAAATACTACAGTGAAGAGGTTGTCTGTGTGTTAGCACCATAACAGGGAAGATATGCTGAAGCAGAGTAGCAATTATTTTGGGAGGTGTTACAAATTTGGAAAAATTCTTCAGAAGCCCATTGGTCACTCAGACATGCGTGTCCAGTCAGCTTCTGAGCAATCAAGGTGTTCTAAAAATGTTACCCCATTATTAATGTATTTTTAATTAGTGTGCCTACGTTTGTGTTTGCATAAAACTGACTAAATGTGCTTGGCTAGCAGATCCATGGAAGAAATTGGAAAGCTTAAGATTGGAATAGGCCAGTGTTAAAGCAACACAGCCAGCCCTTCCCAAGTATAGCTGTTATCACTGCTCTCAGTTTGAATACTGTATGTGCTCTGAACACCATGGTGGTAGGCAGTAACCTAACACCCTTCAACAGGGAGATAAATTGTCCCAAATCCAAACTGCTCCTTGCTTTGATTTTAAGAAAACAGACCTCAGCCAACATGATTTTTAAAAACTACAGGTTGCTCTGCTCTGTCCTTTCAGATCTTTAAATTTGCAAGGACCACAAACTTTATTATGGTCAATTCAGGGCATTCAACACCTTGCAGATTCTGGCCCAGACTGTGATGCTCAATTTAGATAAATACTCCTTCGTCTTCCTTCCACCCACTCAGCTGAAGTCTGCATTGCATCTTACCAACGATAAGCCCGATCTCACAGTTGTGATCATCATAGCCACACGTCATCATTGTTCCAACTGTGTCATTCACCACAGCAACGATGTCTATGTCAAAATCCTGAGAAGAAAAATCCAGCCTGTGATGTCACATTTGACAATAACTTTCCATTTCTAGCCTGGATTGAGTGGAGAGGGAGCAATGTTTTAGCTAAGTCAGGACAAAAAAAGCGCCAAGGCCAAGAATTTGGCTTGCTGTCAATAAATATTCAAGTCTTATTTGGGCAGAGGTTTTAAGAAGTGACTAATGATTTCCAGTACACAACTAGAGACACTAGAAAGGGGACTGATTCCAGAGGGCAGATATACAGCACTTCCTGGAAAAAAATCTGCTACTTCTGAAAACTATAGCCCAAGTGGGACTGAACTCACTCAATTGCCACTAATCTAAGGGTAGATGAACAAGCTGCCTACTAGCTTTATCATTAATACAGATCACTTTGACAGAGCTTTTGTAATTTCTGTGTTGCACAAGCACTGGTTGCAGATCACAGCATCCCTGTGAGCTCAGTGAGCCATACCACAGAACATGTCTAGACTTCTATTAGGTGGCCACCCTGGCTCTAAGTGTTTTTAGAGACCTAAAGGAGAAGATACATGAAAGAAGACTTAAAACATATGTAATAAACTTTCTGGACAGTATCAATGCATGCTCACAGCTAATCAGTCTACAGTTCTCTCCTGCCTCAAAACCTGGGAGGGAAATGGAAATCTTGATTAGTGCTATGTTAAGAAATCTTGGCTCTGGCAGATCCAGTTGAGGAAATCTGGGCTCTCTCAGTGGGGACAATGTTGGATGAGACAGGAAAGGTGGCCAGCAAGCAGCTCCACTTCTTGTTTCAGTGCAGGGTCTGTTAGAACTGCATGTTTGCTAATGGCACGCATGGCACTATTGGATCTCAGACAATGTAAGGTTTCCGAAAGACAATTTGTTAGATGGAGGCACTCCCTTAGATTATCAGAAATCAATGATATGATCCCTACACCACTGAAAAACAGTAACCTCAGCACTACAATAGTTCTTTGTGTACACATATTTTCTCAGCAGTGAATGGAGCCTGCAGCATATCCATGTAATGAAACAGCAAGGTGTAAGCATGAGAAAGTGGATTGTTGGATTGACAGCTTGGCCAACAAGCTGCAACCCAATAACTTCCTCTTCCTCCTCTCCTAGAGGACTATTATCTTGCACCAATTGGCTGATGGCAATCTTACAGCCCCGTAACTGCACTTGTATAATGACTTGCCCTTGGGTATCTTGGTTTTGAAACCATGTGCACCCGCCTCAGTGGGTTCAGAACCTCTATACCTACACCTTGAAATGTGATGCTTTCCACCTGCAGGATGGGCTGTGCATGGACCATGATCTCAAAGCTAAATCAAAGCCAGAAGCAAGAGAATCTTGTTTCAAAGCTGGACAGAGCATCCCCAGCTGAGCAAGTCCTCCCCAACACCTTGTGAGCCAAGAGCCTGGGTTTTGCTTACCCCTCGTTTCTTGATGGCTTTACGTAGCATGGAAACAACATCCTTCCCCTCCACACCACTGGATTTGAATCCTTTGGTCCACATGACAAGGAAGCTCTATTGAAAAACAGTGAGTATGACCATATTATGAAAACCACAGTCCTCAAGTACCTTCCTCTAAGGCAATGATTCTCAATCAGGATGCCATGACACCCTGGGGTGCATTGAGACCCTTTCAAGGGTGTCACAGGGTCACATGCAATGTTAACACTGTTAAGTAAGTGTGCAAACATAATTCATAAGCTAAACCCAGAGATTTCAAACAGGAATCCACAATGTTAAAAACACTCTATTCTTTTTTGGGGCTTTCGGAGTTTTTTGCAACAGCAAAGCTGCTCTATTAGTTTTCACTATTTTTGGATGACAGAAAAATAAGAGCCAGCAAGTTCCATGGGGTGCCGTAAGGTGAACAAGGGGTGCCTCGAGTCTATAAAAGGTTAAGAACAACTGCTCTAAGGCCACTCCTCTCAGCATGCATCAGCTGCTCAGGTATAACACAGGGGAGTAGGGGCGACATGTAGGGGGTACACGCGGGTGCATATGTACCCCCTGAGTGTGGCAGTGCACCCCCTGTCGGTGGCACCTGTGGGCAGTCGCCGCTCACCACCCCTCCACTGACACTGCCGGCGGCATCTGCGGGCAGTCCACGATCATCACTGGCTGCTGCTGACACTGCTGGTGGTGCCTGCAGCTGGTCACCAGCCCCTCTCCCCACTGCTGACCATGCTTGTGGCATCTGCAGGAGCTCTGCGCTTGCTGCCACTGCACTCCTGCTGCCACAAGCACAGCCTTGCCCCACCAGCAGCCAGGGGCATGTGCCATTCATGCAGGGGAGTAAACTGAGTGGTGGTAGTGAACCTACATAGTACATTCGCATTGATGTATGTGAAGATAACCAAGGAGGAAGGCAATAAGAGACAGAAGGACAGTTTTGACTGCACAACAAACAAAAGGACTTATGTACAAGGTAATTAGGCTTGCAGTAACTTCCTCAGTCTCAAAAAAATCTTATGTTTCTGGAAATACCATCAAAATAAAGGTGGCATGGGCAGTTATTCATTTACCTCTTCCCACAGTAGGAATACAAAGCACAATGTGGGCACGTCTACATGTTTGTTAAGGCGTATTTGCTACTGCACATTAGAAACAGTACTTCTAATATAAGGTACTACATAAAGGCGCATTAGGCTGCCCTAATGCGCACCAGCAAAAGCACATGCCTTTTTAGTGATGCTTAACGCATAGTAGACTAATTCTACTGCACATTAGCATATTAGCACTGTTTTTGACGTGATGCTTTACTGTGCAGTAGAGCAGGCTACTGCACATTAAAGCGCATGTGTAGACGTGCCCTGTGACGTCTAATGGAGCAAAATCTCTTAGGATACTTGCTAAAAAAAACCCTCAGGGCACCTACAACTGCCAATTAAAAATATTCTTTCCTTTGTGGATTTTCCCTGTGAAATCTAAAAACCTATGCAGAGCAGAAGGCACTTAGAGCCAGGAGTCTGTTAGGCTTAGACAATTTATAATAATAAGACTATCACAGCAAAATATTTGACTTGTATATGGAGAACTTCTCATGCACAGATTCCAAAGGTGCTTTACAAAGAAGAGTAAGTATCATGCTCTTTACAGAGTGGGACACAAAGGCATACAGAAACTTGAGGTGACCACAGTCACCTAGAGAATCAGAAGAAGAATAGGGAATGGAACAGAAATCTCTTGACTCCTGTCTCTGTGGCTTTCTACTGGAGCACACAGCTTCTCCAGGCAAGGAAGAGGAGAAGAAAACACTTGGCCTTTATTAACCTAACAGAAATCTTGATGTACGAGAGCACAACTTCATGAAGAAACCTTTAGAATGGATATTCACCGCACAACGAAGGCATGTGGAAGGGACAGAGGCATCCTCATTCCCCAGAGGACAGTAACATTTTTAACTTTTGGATTATATCTGGGGGCTGGGGGAGGCAGGACAGACTTGCTGCAGGGATGGAGAACAAGAGAACGCAGGGGACCAGGAGGGACAGGGGGACCAGGCACAGAAGGGCACGTTCCAGACTACGTGACAACTGTAAGGGCACGTGCCCAGCTGGAGGTTGCTTTCCAAGCAATTTCATCCCAGGCTTCTGAAGCCACAAACAAACCTATCGCATGATCGAGGTCACCGACTCCCATTGCAGAGCGACAGCCGCACTAAGTAGAGCTGACAGGACATCAATCCCTGCTGCAGTGCTGGCCCCGGCTCCCAGAGAAGCTAGAGGAGGAGGCCTGGCCTCGTGTGGCCTGTGGCTTTACAAATGATGTGCTGCTTGGCACGTCCGTTCCTGAGCTGCCCTCCCTAATGTGGTGCCCAGTGCCTGCATTCAGCTCATTCGCCATCTCCTCTCCCTTCCTGCCTGTGTGCCACTGAATCCTCTGTGCCTCTTTCTTGTGCTATGGCTTGAGACTATTCCCCTTGTTGCCCTCCCTGCCAGTAATACTCTTCTCTGTCATGAAGTCCTGTCTTCTCAGCCAGCTTCCCCCTGCCACGGCTCCCCTCTGGGGCTCATTTCTATTATAACATGAAAGGGTTACTCAGAAGCCTCACTGCCCTGCTTGTGAGTCTGCACATTCAGCATGATGGCACTGCTGTTATATGTAGCAGGGGAGAGACATGGCTTCTGGAGTGGAGAGGGAAAGGGAACAGGGGTGTGTACTGAATACCTGGTAGGGAGAATTGTAGAGCATAAAGTGTTTGTTTGGAGGAGGAATGAGGCGAGTTGCAGGGAAACTTTGAAATGGAGGAGATGGTGACAGCAGGAGACAGTGGGGAGAGCTGAAGCACCTGGGGTGTGCAAAGAGCTCGGCCAACACACATGAGCAACCCCTCCCCTCTAGCAAGTAGCATCCCCCTACAAACTACACGGCCCTCAGGAATGATTCTTCCTTCCCGATGAACTCCCAGACTTTCCCCCATCTGCCAGACTCCTGTGACAGCCAGTCATGTGATTTACCTAATGTAAAGTGCAGAAATCTTGCCTGTTACTCCTCTGTAAAATATATTGCACATTAGTGCAACTATCCTCATCTTCCCCTGCCAGGGGCTCCTCTCCTTTCCCTCATTCCCCTTCCCTGCTGCCAAGGGTTTTTGTGTGAGGTCTTTGCAGGGATCGAGTCAGCTGAACTGGAACACGCCTGGCTGAAAGCAAAGTAAGAGCATCTACACAGGTGTCTGTACCAGTTCAGCTGAACCAAATTAAAGTCACATTTAAGCTGATCTGGTGCAACTTCTGTGTTTAAACCAGGTTAGAAACCATATATTGTGATCAAAATACCCTCTCGGCCTGTCCCTTTTACCTCCCCTGATCAATGAAAGCAGCAAGCTGGGCCTGATGTATGTACAAGCCAAAGGAAGGTGACACTTCACTTACCTCATCCAGTTTGGTCTGATGGCAAGGAAAGGAGAAGGTGAATCCAAGGGGCAGCTTCTTATCCTTGATGCCCAGCTTGTCCATGAAGTTGGCCAGGCATTCGGCTATGTGGTCAAAGAGCTGCAAAACAGAGCCAACAACACGTTGGATGTCAGAGCATTGTGTATGTGCCTGAAGGAGCTGCTTTGGCACTCCCTGAAGTCAGTGAGTGAATTTTGGACCAAACACCTCAGACTGCAGTCCCTCGGGAGTTTCCAGCACCCTGCCTGCACCATGCCTTCTCTAGTCCCAGCCACCAATGCAAACACATGGCCTATTTATGAGCAGCAATTCGCACTGGTGCACCTCTCCCTACTTTCTCACTATTTTCACATCAGGGTCAGAGAGCCACTCTGTCCATCTCCACGTGGGGCATATTGCATAGCTGGAGTGGGGACATATTCCCACCACAGACAAGACTGTCAGTTTGGGCTTGGCCAGCCACATCCCTCCAGATGGCACACTGGTCTTCGCTGCTGGTCAGTTTGCTTGCTCTGGGTTTACAGAACAGTACTGCACTTCAGCTCACTCAGTTGCTTATTTCTAGGCATTTTTTCCACCCCAGCTACTTTCCTGTAAATCCAACATACAGACAAGTCTGCCAAGAGACTTCACTAAGCTCTGACTCATTTCTATGCGTGAGGATTTAACAAGGAAAGCAAAGCCAGCTGGACAGACAGTTTAGTCCAGTTTGTCTTCCAGTGGCACAAAACTGGGTCCAAAGTGCACCAGCTTGCAGTTTCAAGGCATATTCCACAGAACTCACGCACCCAACCTAAATCCTCCATAGTACCCTTTCTCTGACATTGCCTTCACTGAGGAGCAACATGGACCATGCCTGCCTGCTCCCAGAAGGGAGGTAGTAATGCTTTATGGTGGTTACACTAAGGCCAGACCAGCCCTTGCACCAAGGTAGTGAACCCAAGACTGGGGCCAGGTGTGCGCTCAGCACTGCTGTCAGAGAAGGAGCGGGTGAGTGGGGCATGGCATGGAGGCGGTGCAGACATGTCCAGTTGATCCCTGCACCACATGAACTTGCTGCTCTCCATTTGCAGGTTTTCTAGGTCCCCATCCATAAAGCTAGGCCAGGGCAAGTTAGAACCCCTCTTCTGCCTCCTGCTAGACTTTCTCCATGAGTGCAGTCCATGGCAAAGCACTGTCATCATGAGACTCGCAATTAATTGGAGGAACTTAAGCACTAAGAAGGGCAGGGACATATCTGGTTTTACCTTAGCTGGCTGGCAAAATTGGTGGAAATACAACATAAGCCTCTTACCCCTACCCCATCTATGTCTTGCCATCAAATGAGTGCTTTCTTGAAACACCATCATACCTTTGCCCCCAGATCTTTGCTACCCTAAAGAGCTATATAGGAAGCACCCCACTTCTGAGCACATGGACTGTGAGGGCCATTCTCCTGAACAACAGCAGGAGACTGATTACCCCTGAGTTGCTCTTTCCACTGTATAAGGCTGGGTACTCCCTATGGCAAATATGATAGTGGAAAATGACATGGGAAGGGATTGGGGTGAGGGGAGGGGCGGGGGGAAGAGAAGGGAAATAGACATTTTATGTAAGATTTAATCTGGGATTAGCCAGAGTTGAGGGGAGAGGGAGCAGGAGGGGAAGCAGTCATGTGGATCAGAGCAGAATTAAAACTGACATGTCTTCTACTCCAGGGCTGGCTACTATTCTGGAGACAAGCCATGGCTGCCAATTTTAGCTAGACCATTATGAAGTCCCATCACGAGATCTCTGAAACGGGCCCAATTCTCTAACCACTTTGAAACAAGGCCTCTCTGAGGTGTGCCAAACTGGACACATGCAAACTAAGACTGTATCCAGAAAAAATCAGGTCCATTTTAACACATGTCAAGAAGCCCTTGGGAAGACAAAGCAAAGGATGGTTTTGCCACGTGGCAGCTGGTCAAGGCAAACTCTGCAGCTGGCCTCCACCAGCTAAAGCACAAATGCTACACAAAGGAAATGCCCGGTGAAACCACCTTCTATTTTAAGGAAGAGAAGGCACAAGGAACCTGCAAATCACTGGTCAGCTTTGAGCATCTTGGTCTTTGCATTTCTAGAGAGTCCCCAGCCACAGTACCCAAGCACCATTTCCTTCTCCACTGAGTGGCCAGAAGACCTGGGCTGGCAAGGCACAGCAAGCTGTGGGATCTCACAAGAGTGCACAAAGGAAAGGGAAGGGGGGCCTTGAGACTACCTGAACCCCACTGCCCCTCATGAGATCCTCTGGAATGGCATAGATCTGATTCTCCATCTCCACCTTCTGCAGTCCATTATCAGACACCTTCACCCTCAGCACGCGGAAATTGGTGCCGCCAAGATCCAAGGCCAGGAAGTCTCCATCTTCTGCAGGGGAAAAAAGAGAAGAATGACACTACATTAGAGGCTGCAAATTGTTTTGCTGGGCACATGTACACATTCATGTGCATCTTTAAAACATAGCTAGGTTATTACTGCCTACTTACAGGGGCCAGATGTGCTACCACTCCTGCCATCTCTGATCATCCAGAGAACCAAATCCACCCCAAAAATTAAACCAGGTGAACAATAGGTCCAATTCTGGCCCCACCAGCTAGGCTGAGTGGGTTTGAAGGCAGCACAACCAAACAAAGAAAAGCAGTGGCTGTGCTTCTAGTAACACCCCTCCCTCTGCACAGCAATTGCCCCCGTAAGTGCAGGGGGTGATGGTTACCATGGGTGCATCTGACCCTACATTTCAGAAGCCCTTCAGCCATTGCTGAAATGCAAGGCTCTGCTGAAAACAAGCACACGGAAAATTGCACGGGTTAATGGGAGAGCTTTGACCAACGATGCCTGGACAAAGCACCAGCTATGCAACAGAGGCAGGCCCCTGGGATCGTTCACAACTAGGTGGAGCAGGCCTGGTATCCACTGATAAGGCTCAAGGCAGCACATCTTGCCTAGCGCAGGTTAAGTAAAGTCAGACCATCTTAGCTGCTTCTTCAAGGGCCTTGTTGCGTGATCTTAAGAAAGTTGCTTAATCCCAGGCTTGGGCAAGGCAAATCCAGTACCAAAGCTAGTTCTTAGAGCACCACGACATGGTGCCTCCAGCAAAACTGGCTACAACTATAGTCGGGGGAAGGACTCTCATGTTTTTTATTTTTCATCCCTCGCTGCTCTTTCATAATATACACGTGAGTGAAAAGATCCAGCCTCTTTCAGAAGCAACTTGTGGCACCTCTTGCTCAAATCATTTCAAGAAGTCATCCCATGTGATGGCTGAGGAATTCGTCTGAGGGATTTCAAAGCAAGGCTTTCCTCCCCTCAAGGAAGAATTTGGCAATGTCAACAGGAGAGACCACGGGATCAGAAGGGGAAAGAAAGAACAGATACCCATGAAGCATCACAGGATTGGCGCCACACGCTTGAGCCAATTTTAGAACTGGCAGCTGAGGCTTCTCTTGCTTACACTGGAGTAAAATCAGAGTAATTGCACTGATGCTGGTGAATACAGCAGCACATCCCAGCCAGGAAAATCTAACAATGTCAGGTACTCAGATACTTAACAGAGAACACAGAGTACCCAATTCTGAATCCCACGTCATCCCAGAGACATGAAGTAACATTCATCTACCCCTCAAAAGCAGCCAGGGTAAAGGATGGACAGGAGTGGGAATCAAGGGTACCCACCTAGCTTGACTGCTGCAAGTAAAGAGTTAACAACAAAAAAGCAGGCTAGATAGACTCCGCAAAAACAGGTAATCTCTGTGACTTGGCTTGGTCACATGTAACTTAACAGAGTTTCTCTGGGTTACGGCCACATTTATATGAACTGGCTTGAGAAACCTGCAGGGTTATTAGCTGGACCATCTCCCACAGGAGACTTATCAAGCAGTCGTTCTCCCCCCACCACACGCACTTTTCTATTGTTCTTTTTTAGGTATTCAACTTTATTTTCCAGCCCCCCAAGGTGGCCCATTGCAGAGTCCAGGACAACTAAGTAGAATCACCAGTACAATTCGGGAAAAGTGCCAAGTTTGCTATATCAAATACCTAGCTCCGGGCAGGGGGAGGGAGGTAGAGGGGGTGGGGGGAAACCCTCTATCAGCACTCTTTAATTTCTGAATACACTAAATCTGCTGTGCTGGCTACTCCAGATGGATTATAGAGCCTAGGGACTGCATTGTGCCCAGAGATCCTGTGACAAAGGGGCTACAGTTGAAACAAAAAATGCACTTTATTAGTATTCAAATGACACAGGGCCAGTGAGCGTCTCCAGTGACTTCAGCTGAAAAGACAGCTTACTGTCCAAGTCTGTGGGGCATTGATTGGCAACAGGAGATTTCCCGGGATCATTATGGGGTCGGCGTTCCAAGAACTTGGGTGAGGTGGAGAAAAAAATCAGTCACTGGGAAGCTCACACAACAATTCTCTTATAAAATCCTATTCAAAATGTCTTTCAGAGCACGGAAACTAAAAACCTGCTAAGACCCAAGGTAGAAAAGACAAAGGGGGGATTTCTTTAAAATCTCATATAAATCCTCCTTTGACAAGACACTGGCGATCCCTGCCTGCCAGGACAGAGAAGTTGAACTGGATGTGGCTCCGTAACAGAGTAGGGAGAGCTTTGGGGACACCCAGACAACTGCCAGGGGAGAGCTGGGATGGTTTTCAGCGTCCGTCTATTGCTGGTGGAGCTGGCAGGTTCTGTGAACGTGGTGGCTGGTTAGGAGCAGGATGCTAAGGCACCTTCCTGCTGGTCCAATGTTAGCCGACTTGAGTGTGCCAGAGATGAGAGCTTTGTACTGACTTCAGCTTTCCGGTTCCACCCAGACCACTGATGTCTCTTTTGGTGCCAAGCTGGTTATCTTATTGCTGAGGCAATACTGGAATTTTCTGCCTTTGCCCTGAACCATCCCCACCCAATCTGTTTAATGATTCATATAAAACCTCAGGGCCAAGCCACCCAGCCCTCTGAACCAAGCCAGGACTTGGCAACTTGTACCTTCTCTAACAAGAACCTGGAGTACCTGGCATTTGTACCAGGTATTCAAGCAGCAGAGGGCTGGAGCAGAATACAGCAGCCAGATCCTTCCTTGATACCAAGAGCTTCAGGTGCTAAGGGCTAACGTGAACAATACAATCACTCCCTTAACTCTCAGTGGAAGGAACTACAAAGACATTTCGGCTGATGACTTGCACAGACCTCCAGGCAATTTTTAAAATGTTGATCCAGGCTGACAGCTCCCCACTGTGAGGATGGATATGTGTACAGAGGGAAACCAAGGCACAGACAGCACATTTGTTTGGGACTTGCCCAAGACCACACAACCACCTGGAAGCAGAACTAGGGTTTGAAGCCAGAGGTCCTGACACCCATACCACACCCATGTCCAGCCAACATGCTGTTTCTCTCCTGGACCGGGTGACCCCAATCACCTCTGCAGGTCTGGTAGCTTAGGTGACTTGTGAAAGCCCATGAATATGAAGGAAGTCAGGAAAGGAGCTGCCCAGCCCTGCTTGGTAGTTACTAGGACAACCTATTCAGGGAACAGACAGGGGCATCAGTCATGTGGCCCAATGTTGTGTGATGCTGAGGCCCAAAAGGTTAAGTAACTTGCCCAAGGTCACACAAGTGACCTGTAGCATTAACACTTGCTCTCTCAAATCCCTGCTCTGCATCCCATCTGTGAACCCTTTTTTACCAAACTAGTCAGAATCAGTTTCCTAGTTTAAGTCAACCACCCAGTTTTGAATAGTTAATCTAAGGGGGGAAAGGTGAGTGTGAGATGTGAATATATAAGGTATTGTGCAACAAAGCTAAGTGGTACCTGGGGACTTCAACTTCTCTGCACCACATTCAAATCCAGGTCAATAGTGACAGATAGCACCCTAATTCAAGGGGGAAAGCTGGACCATAGAAGTAACCCAAGCTCTCATTTGGTCATTAACATATGCTACAAAGACTATTATTTAACTAAGGGGCTTACCCAGAGCCAGTACCACAACATTTGAGCAGCTCAGAATTGTTTACTGGACTTATCCTCAAAATACGCTCTGTGATATATGACTCCCAGTTTATGGAGGGCAGACAGAGACAGAGTAATACCACAGGCCACACTGGGGGTGCGTGGCAGAACAGGTCGGACTTGGGCTAATGTTTTATCCACTGGACCGTCCTCCCTGGACCCCGAACTGAGTGGTTTGGCCTCAGCTCTGACCTCCAACAACCAGCTTCAGTGGCAACATTGTACAAACAAAGCTTTTGCTGTGGACCATCTATTGCAGAATCCAGTAGACCCATCAGGGCACATGCCCACTTGTGACCAACTAGCAGAGACCCATTAGTCGCATTTGTGACCAACCAGTTGGTACTGTGAGGTAAAGGGGAGATGACAGCTTGTAGATCCATTCATCTTCAGCAACATTGGTGGGGATGTCAGCTGATCTGGAGATCAGCTGGGAGCAGAAGGGCCCTAAAGATCAGGGGGGAGAGACCAGTTTGGACATGACCAGAGAGCCCAGGGCTGACGACATGTGAAGCGTAGCTCTGTCAGGATACATAAAGCCCCTGCAGAAGATCCCAGGCTGACTGGGCGCGGAAAGGACTAACTTACAGTGTATGGTGAACTCATGAAGGAAAGAGCGCTCCAGTGCTATCTATCACCTAAAAGAGTTTTTCAATGCACTGGTCAGTAAGTTTGCTCACTGGCTTACCCCAAGCAGACACTGGAAAAAAAAGAGCCCAGGAAACTGCAGGGGCTTTTCCCCTGGCTTTAAAACACACTTTCAAATATCTGAAACAATGCTGTTTTTATTCATCTCCCCCATCCAGCCCCTTGCACAGGACTTTCGAGTCCTAGGGCCCCACAGATAAGATGTTGCAGACTCCAGAACACAGGTTGGTAGAAGGGATCTGGAATATTCAAGCTAGTCAGCTTAAAAAAGGGGAGGAAAAAAACGTTGGAGCAGATCCAGACTTTGTCTGATGTGGGAACAAAGGGAAGCAAAAAACACAGCTTTCTCATTGATGTTTCTCTGCTCATTACAATCATATTGTTGTAGGTTCACCAATGAACACTATTCTGTGGTTATTTCATAAAGTTTCGACTATTCTAGCAAAAGAATTGGAGCAGAAAAGGTGACACTGAACACCATAGCACCAAATGAAGCTGATGGTACAGCAGGAGCCTAACGTACTTTTAAAACCCAAGAACAAAATCAGGCCCAAGTCCAGTTTACACTCTAGAGGATTTGAAGTGGTGGCAGTCAGATCAGAGCTGGGCCCGGCAGATTGAGAAACTTAAACTGGCCATGACATGAAAACTTATTAGCAAGTCTGAAGGCTTCCTGACTAGCATGTTTAGAGCAAACCAGTTTCTGTA